AAAGCATCTTATTTGCAATTTGTATGTAGTAAAAACAATCTAAATATATTTAATGCGCAGAGCTGTTTTAGCTTTAAAACTTGAATGTGCCACAGTTGTAATAAGAAAGTTATTTTTTGTAACAACTTTGTAAAAATCTGATTTACATAAAATGTATCTTCATTACCTCTACATCCCTACAGCGCCATCTCCTTGTGAGACTGACGGGAACACCGGCGCCAAATGCACTATTTATGAATTATTGAAGAGAAAAAATGTCCTCAGAGATTTTCCACGACCAGGATAGGAGAACTACTGAAGAGCAAGCCTTTTCATTTTCTATGTTGCCATAAATAGCAAGTCATTAAGAAAATGGCAGGTGACGGGCAGATTAGGAGAGGCACAGCAGAGGAGATGTGTAATGGAGACAGTTGAACCTTATGGTATTCGTCCCAGGCCCACTCATCTATCTCATTGCCTTCATTCCTTGTCTTTGTTATTGTACAATAACAAATCAGGGTTTTTTTTTCATCCTTATGGGTCTTTCAAGTATAATTGCAACTTAGACACAAAGTCTCTTGTGAGGTTTGGTTTCAGAGAACACATCCTGTGAAGGATATTTTTAAAAACACAAGTAAGAAGTTACCACTTCCATGACAAGCACATGTGTTCTTGCAAAAATAATGAGTTTTTTTTGCATACTGCTGTAATTAGTTTGGTTTGTTTGTCTTTGCACACTGAAGCATTCAGTACATATTCAGCCAAGGGTAAGGGTGATATCTAATAAAATAAGTTAGAAAAGTTCTTTCCCTCACTCCTTCTCTTATATATATATATATATATATATATATATATATATATATATATATATAGAGAGAGAGAGAGAGAGAGAGAGTGTGCAGGGGTCTATGTTTGTTTCCTTACTGTGTCAGAACAATGTAAGTCCATATCTATGCCGTACTACATCAGATCACTTATTCCGCTCTGTGTTTCTGTGTTCATGCCTCATTAGGCGTCCATTGCATTCACATGTCACTTTTTGAGTTTACATCTCTACATTTAAATCCTAAAAATCCTAAAGAGAGTTGTAATTGAACTTTTTATAGCGGCTACGTCTATTAGCATGTTTTTTTTTTTTGTTTGTTTGTTTTTTTATGAAATGTAGTAGAAGATGTAATGTAGAAATGATGTGCTATTCATTACTTCCTATGTGGATAAACAGATTTGGTCAATCAGGCTAATTTCTCATAAAGTATAATTTGTTCATTTCTGCTGTAACTTTCTGATATTTACAATTTCTGCATTGTGAGATGTAGGGATGCAACTGGTAATTGGACTAGAGGTCAAATTGATGAACTAACACAGCAGAAACAATAGCCCATATGGGATACATAGTCAGAGATGTAAGCAGAGTAATCTATTTTCTCTTTTCCATACAAATATAGACACCAAGTGCCCAGAGGCACTTAATGTCTATATTTAGATTTGAATATCTTGTTTTTTTTCTATGACTGAAAAGTTTACATAAATGAAGAAAGTTTTCAAACATTGTGGGCTTTTGGGAAAAAGGCAGTTGAATATATTGAAGAAAACTTTAGATCTCATGTGCATTATCTTTTATTTACCCAGTTAGATTGTAGTCCTGATGGCAGATGACAATTAAAGGGAACGTTCCAGAACTGTGATTTTTGACTGTGTGCTGTGATACATCCCCAGCCTGGTGGGATTCCACTGTTGTGTTCTGCTCAATAATCCAAATCCTTTAAGTCCCACTCGGCCCACTTCAGTCCTTTGATTGTTCCTTTTATTTTTATTGCATTTAACTCCATTTTCATAATCTGATGCACTGCACAGCGTGTGCTAGGGAAGGAAAACACAAGTGCCACACACTGTTCTTCTATGGTCATTCAGATTACAACCACTAGTCTTTAATCCGTAAAGATGGCTTTGTCTGTGCTTAATTTAAAATGGAAATTTTCAAAGACATTTCTCTGTAGTTGCTGTCCACTGAGTGAACTTCACTCAGTAGAACTGTATGTAACTAGTAACAAAATGCATTAGCTAGTTAATACACTCTCCTGCATACCTGATATGAGTTAACTTAATTAGTTGCAAGTTGATTTGCTCTCACAGATGAATCCTTTTATACTTTTCCAGCCATTTGCCTCTGACCCAACTTGGAAGAAACATTCAATCTGAGATGATATCGTTTCACTCATAAAATCGTAAAGTTTCACAGTTCAAACATTAGTTATATTTTCTAGGTTTTGATATGAAAACAAATTTACCCTTGTGATTTAAAAATATTTTGTTTTTCCATTTCATTCAACGTTAGATAATGCCCAACGTTTCAGGAATTCAAGTTCTACTTAAAGTCAAACCAGGGAAGTGGAATAAAAAAAGACAATGAGACAACTAAATTAAGCTACAGTAAGTTTGAACTAAGCCTATTGATTATTAGATAATTCTTTGAAGGAATCTGAAAATCACTTCCAAAACGAATGCAGAGCCAGTGCAGAGACTTTGAAGTTGCAGTGATGTGAATCCTTTCGCTGGTCTCTAAGTGTTCAGACAGTATAATTTTAGAGTAATTATAGCAGAGAAGTCCAGGAAGTAGAACATTGCAGCAATATTCTTTACAAATAATCAAACCAAAAGCTTCTGTACGAAACGGTAAGAAACAGACTTTGACGTCATTCTTGATCTTATCGATATCTCTGTTGCACCAGACAACACTTATTTATGTTTTAAGAATATTTTAGCCACATGCTACCGCTTTTCATTAAAGATCCAGCTTTTAATTTTTTATCCAACATGACCGTAAATATTATATTGCATTAATGCAGCTATCCTCACCAGTCCGAGTTTAGTGGTGTTTCCTTTACCCTGCATTTAGTTGTTCTTCATAAATCGCAAGTGATCAAGTGAAATGTCGAGTTTCTTTATTTCTGCTGTTTCGTGTGGAAAAGGATAAGTAAAAAAAATGCTGAGGGATTTATGCGAGACCAAATGGATTGAATACTATAATTATATATTACTCCGAGAGAGTTTTGGCCCTGTCTGTCAACTGCATCCACACCTCCTCGTCAATCCCTCCTCCTGATCGCCTGATGCCAAGGGTAAGATATACATCTGTCTAATTTCTTGCTTGTCAGCCCACCATCTGGTACAGTATCAGCAATAAAGGCAGAAAAAATGGCATCCCACTTCAGTCTCTCTCTTTCTCTCTCTCTCTCCCCCGCCCCTCTCTCTTTTTCCCTCTCTCTTCCTTTTTGTCTCTTGCTTTTCTCTCTCACACACACATACAGTGTAGAGCTGCTTGCTAAAGTTACTGAGGTCAAATGTTGTGATGATGGTGAAGATAAACTTGGTTTTTCTGGTCTACTTTGATGGATGTTATAAAAATAAAGGAATCTCCGATGACTGCAACTCAGCCATCAACACTTTTAAATAATAAATAGCTGTATATTTCTGATATTTCTAAAAGTATTGAAAAGTTATTATTAGCCTAATAGTTATACTAATGTTTTATGTAAAGGCAAACATAATAAAACACCATCATAATTGGAAAAAAAAAATACAATATTTTATCCTTGTCTGTTCTTTTTCATGCTAACATAATTTCTTCTTTTTATCCAAAGTGGCCATTGTGACTACATGCCCCATGCTGATAAAAAGGGTCAAAGTTAAACATACACATGATCATAGCTTTTACATTAGAGTAGTTTTAGCTTTTTCTAGTTCATTATTTGGGGCTTCCACTTATGCATATGCAATGTTTGATTCATTGTGCCTACCCTCATCAGCATCATTTTGAGTCCTGGCAACCAACTGTTTTCAGATATTAAGTTATGAACACAAGCATTACATTAAATAACAGACCAAACATCAGTCACTTTTCTTCTTCAGTCTGACTGTATGGCTTCATGTGCAGGGCAGTGCAGTTTTGTGGGTACCACTATCCAAAAATCTTATCTATAAGTAGCACATCAGATATGTTTTATATTTTCATACACTTATAAAGGGAAGTGGGGGCTCGGCTTGTGATGCATCGAGTTTAATCATTTTAATGCAGGCCTTTGTGCATCACAAGGGACTGACTACACCAAAGTTAATGTCTGATACATATGGTGTTTCTTGATGTGTGTTATTGTTTTTACTTTCTTTGGAAAGTGACCTTGATTTCCATGAAGTATGACTTCTTATTACAACACAAATATATTCTGATTCAGAATGCATGTGTCAGTAATATGTTAAAGGTATTTTCTGGGTCTACTGTTGTCTCTCCCTGTCTATTTATTTTCTCAAGTATTTTTATCTTTTTCATTAATTTTGTCAATCTAAAAAATGGATACCATTCAAGTACAAATCACCAATGCTAAATATTAGCAGTTTTTGGCAGTTTGCTGCTGTTTTATTGGTTGTTTTGCCACCCTGGTTTTTGCGTTTTAGGCCACAGCAACATCATATCAATTGACAAATTGCTTTAAAATTTTTGCCATCTGAATTAAGAATGTTATGTGTAAATCAGCTGTTACTTAAATTTGCAATTGAGACTGATCTTTAGAAATGACTCGGTGAAAGCATAACATTAGGAGTGGTTTAAAAAGAATTGCTTTGGTTATTGAAGCTTAAAACTACATGGTAAAACTGCACAATCAAAACTCCTTTGTGTGCAGGCCATGGGGTACAAATTTACTTGTATGAATGCAGTGTAATTAGCATGTATGAAAGGCTCTCAAAAAGAAAAGACATCTCATAACTGTTATGTTATTCGCTGACGGCAATAATAAAGAGCTGACATTGTTAATAGCTGGGTAGTCTTGTGATTGTTTCTTTTTTTGACTTGAAATGCGTTGCTGCAACATAGAGGGAAGTGAGAAAAATGCTACATAACCTGATGACAGCATGTCTGCTTAAGATGAAAGCAGTTCTACTCATTGGGTGTAATATACAGGCAGACACTTACACCTACATTTCCTTGTAATGTGGCTTTCATTAAACTCCTAATTCTCTTGCAGGTGACAGAGACACGGACAGGGCCGCTGGGATGCAGCAGCTATGACAATTTGGATTCGGTTAGCTCGATCCTCCTGCAGAGCCCTGAGAGCAAGCTTCATCTGCAAGGTAAACAAATCAAATACAGCCCCATGCTTTCCAAGGATGTTGGACATCAGAGGGCAGCAGCCTGTTAAAATTAAAGGAGATCTGTAGTTGCACATGAAGTAGGAAAATGGTTTGTGGTTGCTGAAGAATTGAATGTCAATGCACTTTTTAATTGGCACTGGGTTTGGAATAGATTTGCTCCCGAATCCCCTCTGGGCGATTGCAGTACAATTTTCTGGTTATAGATGTCTGCTCATGTTCTAATGTGATTGTGTTCCTAAGTCTTCCTTAAAGCGCTGATCAAAGACGGGCCTAAATGCAAAACAGTTCCTTCGGTTTCAGAGCTGAAACTCCTTATAAAGGTGTGGTGCATGCAATCAGTGTAAAACATTGCCTGTCCTATTAATTCTGAGCCACATTCTGATTTGTAGGAGTTTATCCAGTGAACATATTATGTAAGTCAGTGTCAAAGATTGTCTAAGTTGGAAAGTAAATCATTTGCATTCGGCTCACTGGCTGTAGCAGAATTTAAGCAGCAACTTTTACTCATTTGTATGTTCTTCTCGATGAAACTTGTGTTTTAAAGGGACAGCATAATGTTATTTTGCCTAGTGCCATATTTTAGAATAATGAAGAGATGATGATGTAAAGCTCAAAAAAGCGGATTTTACATAACGCTGTCCCTTTTTAACACTGACACAATCAGAATAGAAATCACAAGAAAAAGAATCACATGCAGTGATAGACACTTAGAGGGAAAACAATGACAGTTTTTAACAACAATGATTGATCCATTTTTGTAGTTAAGTTTACATACATATTAACACCAGTCCTAGAATCACAGAGACTTCTCTTTAATCCACACACCTCCTAGTTCTACTCCAATGCGGTTTGTCAAAGAAACACTTTTAGGTCCTATGTTTTTTCAGAAAAATGAAAAAGAAAAAGAAGAGAACCCTTTATTGTCAAGCATCAAATCTATTAGCATGAAGAATTGTTGGCACCCAAATAACAGATGACAGAGTAAGGAAAGCTGTTTTTTCTTTTTTCTTTTTTTTTATTCTCTGTGATAATACACGTAACAGAAAGAAAAAGCTTTATGAGTTGGTTTCCAGCTAAATATTTTCTTCTTGGAGCCAAACTCTTCTTGTTACTGAGATGCAAGGATAAACGATAAGAGATTTCCTTAAAATGCGTTTTTAAGAGCAATTATTCCTGTCATTAATTACAAAGACAGCTGGTGGTGTAACTTGCTGAACGATAATAGTGCTCTTCAAAGTAATACACTTCACGCCAACGATGAAGAGGTATATAAACACTGAAGAGCTTTTAGGGTTTTTGCTGCCAAATAGATTTCTAATTACTTCCAGTCATTAAAATCACCTTACGCTTCTCACGTTGGCATTAATGTTGGCATGTCCTTTGATCAAACTGCTAAGTCTACTTTATGATTTGAAGCTATACATTTAGCACTGGTTATTGTTGTGGCTGGAATTGTGACTTCTAGTTTTTTT